TGTTGTTGTTGTTGTTGCTGTTGTCGTCGAGGTTAGGGTAGTTAAGTTAGTGAAGTTAGTTAAGTTAGTCAAGTTAGTTAAGTTAATCAGTGTCTACTTTTTCGACATCTTCACGTCAAAAAAGGCTCAAAACCCTCAGTTTTTTACCCTTTTGACTTCGAAATGTGCTTCGCGCCACAACGGCGTGCACTTTTTCGACACTTTTTCGACATCTGAACCTCCAAAAGTGGTCCGAACCCCTAGTGTTTTTAACATTTTGACTTGGAAATGTGCTTCGCGCCACAACGGCGTGCACTTTTTCAACATCTCAACTTCCAAAAGTGGTCCGACACTGGTGTGCTTTGTACATTTTGACTTGGAAATGTGCTTCGCGCCACAACGGCGTGCACTTTTTCGACATCGCAACTTCCAAAAGTGGTCCGAACCTGGTGTGTTTTGTACATTTTGACTTGGAAATGTGCTTCGCGCCACAACGGCGTGCACTTTTTCGACATCGCAACTTCCAAAAGTGGTCCGGACCTGAGGTGTTTTGTACATTTTGACTTGGAAATGTGCTTCGCGCCACAACGGCGTGCACTTTTTCGACATCGCAACTTCCAAAAGTCGTCCGACGCTGAGGTGTTTTGTACATTTTGACTTGGAAATGTGCTTCGCGCCACAACGGCGCGCGCTTTTTCGACATCTCAACTTCCAAAAGTGGTCCGGACCTGAGGTGTTTTGTACCTTTTGACTTGGAAATGTGCTTCGCGCCACAACGGCGTGCAATTTTTCATCGCTCCTGTGACCAGCTGGCTCCGCACCCGCCGCTTTAGCGAGCCTACTTTTCGACCCTCCTGAGCCACAAATCATTGGAAAAACACAGTGTTTTGCGACTTTCCTACCTTTTCGCGCATCTGTATCTTCTTTCTTCTGACTCTTTCTCTTCTCATCTTCTCTCTTCTAATCTTCCTCTTCTCTCTGCCTCTCCCCTACTCTGCTTTTCATCTGTCCATATTGTCGGAAGTTTGACTTCTAAACTTCCTTCGAATATAGTTCCATTGGAGTTTCTGAGCATCCCACCAGATGGTGACCATCCCGACATAAGGCAAATAGGCCTGTGCCTTGGTTTTGCAAATCCATAGGCTTCAAGGCCGGCCCTCTTTTCCTCACAGCTGGGGTAGATGAGGTTGCGACCCGACCCATTATCTCTTTCTTGCTGAGGAATAGCTGCCTTGCAGCATATAGACCTCTGTCATCTACCTGCAAGGCACGAGGGCTGGGCTGGTTGAAAAATTGAGAAGCGTGGAAGTCCTCTCGTTCAAAGACAGCAAGGCATTCGGAACAATCTGTCTAGTTTCACCCGATGTGCAGAGCTGTCCCAGCTCCAGCCTGATTGTTGTCACCTTTTGTGAGCATAGCAAGCTTTCCATCCTGACTGTTGAACTTCTCCAGATTCATGGGGAAACAATCAGAACAAAAATCTGTGTTTAAAAAAGTACGGCAAGCACCTGGCACCCCAACAATCTGAGCTGTGGACTGCCTTTTCATGTACGTTCATCATTCTATGAACGATCGGGATGTCCTGGCAGTGCTGCAAACGAACAAAGAAACAGTGTCAATGATTCCCGTCGGCCCATGGCAAACAATATCAGGATTTAAAAGGGAGTTTGAGACAGTTCCAGAATGTTCCAGAATATAACGGCCATGCTGAAGAAGAAGCGATCAGCTTGCGGTACTCTGCAACTCGCCAGCTGCGCTCTGCCCTCGATCTGGAAAACAACGATATCACCCGGTTTGAACCTGAATCTACGTGTATCAGAATGATATCCAGTGTTTCCCACAAGCCAAAAAGGCAAACAGGTCCGTCTCGTGAAAGTGCACAAGGACACTTTGCAAAAGTTTGCTGGAGAAAACCAGTTGCGACTGAGATGATTGCGGCTCTGAAAAGAGAGTAAGAAACCTGGCGTGCAAACGCATTCAACTCTGGTGGTGGACAAAACCAGGAACTTGCAGACTCCAAATCCTTCCAAGTTACAGTTTGACGCAAATTGATTCAAATCGAAAATCGTGAGGCTGTGTCTCTGTCAAAATGAATTCCCTTGACCATCCTTGACCCAAGCAGTGGAGGTACCATGGCAACATATGGCAACGTAGCAAGCACAAGCAGTGCAACCGAGAAGCAAAATATCTCCTCTCTGTAGCCCTGGTTCCATGCTACCACTGAGCACAACAACCTGGTCCACTGATTTCATGAGTTACAAAAAAGCAGCCATGAAAATTCAACTGCCTCACGGATCCTCACGGTACACCATGGTTTCTTGCGCAAAAAAAACAAGGTGCATAGATATATAGGTTTTGAATGGTTTTGACTACTGCACATGTACACTTCTTCATTCAGCCATATCATATGGCTGTGAGTCAAAACCCCCGGTCCACGGTGGATATGCGGCAGCCTTCTGTTCAATAGGGTATTGAACGGGGGTATTGAACGGGAGGTATTGAACGGGGGGATAACGGGGGGTATTGAACGGAGGGCATTTCCTAAACAAACATCCCACCGACTTTGGAGGCATAGCTGGGCAACGGAGCTGGAAAGCCCATAGTGAGGTATTGAACGGGTATTGAACGGGTATTGAACGGGTATTGAACGGGGTATTGAACGAACTACCTCAAAAAACCGGTAGCCGAATCAGTCATCAAGTTCTCTGCCACGCGGGAAATCACTACGAGTACAAAGGAAAACGGCAAATACACCAGTTGGAATCACCCAAGCTCCCAAGACCCAGGGTGCTGTGCAGGGTGCTGTCCAGACTGCGGTGGCGAAGTCTGGCAAAGGTGCTGTCCAGACTGCGGTGGCGAAGTCTGGCAAAGGTGCTGTGCAGGGTGCTGTGCAGGGTGCTATCCACACTGCGGTGGCGAAGTCTGGCAAAGGTGCTGTGCAGGGTGCTGTGCAGGGTGCTGTGCAGGGTGCTGTCCAGACTGCGGTGGCGAAGTCTGGCCAAGGTGCTGTGCAGGGTGCTGTGCAAAAAGTACCTAGAATTGAAGCAGGATATTTATTGAACAAGGGTATTGAACAAGGGTATTGAACGGGGTATTGAACGGGGGGTATTGAACGATGGGGACCCTTCTGTTCAATAGGGTATTGAACGGGGTATTGAACGGGATATCCACGAGTACCTGTTCAATACCAAAACGTTTTGACTCACAGCCATATGTCTGCCATGTATGAAGGCCTACAGTTTTTGACTCATCTGGCTGACTAAGAGCCTATCGATCCCTTATTGCAAACACTGCACAAGCATTGCAAAATCACCCAATGTCTAGGAGTCTAGGCTTCGCAAACCAACTTGATATCTTGATTCATATTCTCTAAGACATTCTAAGACTATCTAACACTGTTAAAGACTCTAGAACTTGTATATAATACTAGAACTGCACTGCCAGTTCTCAGTAACAGCCCGGGCTCCCAGCCACTGGGCTTTCACTCTTGGTGACCACCATCAGTCCCTTCCAAAGCATCAGCGCAGAGAAGACGATGCAGCCCAAATTCAGCACCTTCAGAAAGCTGACAGTTACTGACAGTATACTGACAGTTACTGGGTTCCATCTGGGTTCCAAAGTTCTGTGATTTCCAGGGAAACAGACAGTAACAGACACAGAAGTTCTTTCGATCTGCACCGAAGAAACAAAAGAGTAGAGTAAATAGTTCTAGCATGTCCTAGCGATCTAGAAACTGTGAGTTGCCTGGCATTTTGAGCTTTGCGATATTGATGAAATAAGGTCCTGCCACCCACCAGCTCTGGAACCTGTGTCAGGAAGGACCTTGGCCTCTTGGCCAAATCTCGGAACTCACCCACATACTGCTGAAAAGAGTCCTTTGTGAAGGCATGGATTGACCAAAAATATCACGAAACATCGTCCAAAAGGCATCATCTTCGGGCAACCTGAGGCGCCAGCCATGCTGCTCTGCTGCTCGGATGTCCCGTCAGCGGCAAAACCCAGCCAGCAGCACCTGCAAATTCCGTTGGCAAAGAAAGACCGTGGGAAAAGCACGGAAAGACAAAGAAAGAGATGCCAGACGCCAGCTTGAGTTATTTTGTATTACCAGCAGGCACGCAAAAATTTTAAATGACGACCATGAAATAGTTGCATAGAGCCCTACAAAGTCGGATACTGTACTATGCAGTCCCTCAACACGGAGGAAGGCACTGTGGACGTCTTAGCCCAGCACACTGTGGTGCACCAGCCGCGAAGCCGACAGGAAAAGGCCTGAATTTCCTGACACCTTGAACCAGTTGATGAAAAAATCCAACGCAGCTTCTGTTAATCCAACTCAGCAGTCAACGATATGTCCTGACTGTCCCTCGTGTTGGAAAGGATATGTTGCTCACTCGGAAGGACTTCTCACAGGGTCACAACTTTGATCAATTTTGTCTGCATCCTTCTTCATTTTTGTGCTGCCGCGTCGGATATTGGCTTTCTTTTTCGTGTCGCAACGTTTCATGTTTGGACCACGCTGTGGCAATGAGCTGGCCTTCCACTGGTGCGTTTAGACAGATGTCAACTGAAAGGCACCATTGCTCTGGGCTGCTCTGTGAAACATGTTAAAGTGCCAAATCAGAAAATATGGTCTGTTGGCAATCCGGGTGCATTTTGGAGTTCCCATTTTTTCACCCGTACTAATCTGCTGCATACCGGCCGCTCAACTTTTGCCTCAGCAACCGGAGCAGCACCGAAGATGGATTGGGGCAGTGCAAACCCCAAAGTGTGCAAAGAATCCGCCGAACCCGGCCAAAGAAGGGTGAGCGCGTCTCAGAATTAAGCGCTATATGCTGTAAACAACAACACACCAACTGCAATGGAAGTCCATCAAGATTGCAGACAAAACTTTGCCCCTCTTTTTGTCCGTAAGTTTTCGTTGCGTGTATCGGTTGTTTTATTTTCTTAACACAATTGAGAACTCCTGTTATCCAGAGTCCAAATATGTCCCAACAATCCAAACAGGCAAATTCAATTTTAGTATGGGTTTGGAAGGGGCATCGCCGTTTGCGAAGCCCTTCGCGAAGTACATCAATATACTGATTGTTCCAGTTGGAAATGACAGGAGAAGGCTGATGCTGCAGATGCCTGATGCTACGAAACAGGATGATTCTCATGGACAGAACACATTTCTACACATTTCGTCCATTGAAATTGTCCCTGGGTCAACTGTTTCTTTCTGTCCAGCCACAATCTAACCTTGCTGCCCCTCGGCACTCCCGGTGACATCCCAAGGTGCTACAGCATCAACTCCTGCTGGACGGCTGCTGATTCCCTGCGATAGTGTGTTGCTGTTGGACATACCAACTACATCCAACTACCAGGGAGAGATCACGATTGCATACGATCGCAACCTATCCAGGGAACAATGAGTTGATTTCAACGGCAGGGAACACGTCGCCCCAGGTCTCAATGTGATCCAGGCGAATCCAGGCCTTGACTTCTGTCATGTCTTTGCCACTGTGCGACAACTTCTGTCCTCGGTCTATTCGATCCGGCAAGCATGTCAAAATATGTCAACGAAAAAGAAACAGAAGTAAAGATGGATGAAGACGGCATTGTGATCCATTGTGAAATGTGGACGCAACCTCTCTTGGAAGCTGTCATTGATCTCGGGTCTAGCACCTGGCAAAGCCACATCCGCAAGGTCTCCCTCCTGCATCCGGGGGGATTCAAAGGCAGCAAAAAAACTCATACAAAAATGTACAACTAGGACGGTGTAGGCACAATTGCAATGATTTCGGATCCGTTTACTTGGAGATTCCTTTGACAATTTTTGACAAATTGACACATTCTGTAAGAACACTTTGACAGCATGAAAGCCATTGGACATGTTAAATCTTGGGTTATACTTCGTGGACAGCTGCAGTGAAAGCATACGAAAGCTACAGTTTCTTCTGCAACTGCCCCAATTCTAAGCCACACGTTCAGATCTTAGTTTCCAGAGGATTTTCCTGCAGCACATGCAGTGATCTTCATCCAACGCAAGTCATCTTCGCCATCGGCTGATCTGCCAGGACTGCACCACGCCTGGCAGAACCAGCTCTTTACTAAAGAAAAGTTATCTTCCCTCAAGAAACAAAGATAAACTACGTAAGTAGAATTAAGACACTAGATATGCTATTTATATCTATTTATATGAGTATGCATTGAGGTTGATTTTCGAAGTTGAAGGCATCACTTTGGGTCGCATGACTTCTGCATGTAACCTTGCTAGGAATGAGAGCCGATGACTGGGAAATAGCCGCTTTCTGAAAATTAAGCAAAACATATTTCCAGCGTATTGTCCGCACAATCGATGCAGAAACAACCACCAAACAAAATGCAATGCTTTTGAGCGCCCAAACTCTTCTCAAAAGTTTTGACCCGTTGGTGGTTCAATTTGTGCCTCAGTTTGATGATGTTTGATGGTACCAAACTTTGGGACATCCAGGCTCCGTTTTAGATGCATGCATAGGATGATCCAATAGGGCATTCATGTGTGTGTGTGTTTGTTTCAAATCACATTTTATCCGTGACATTCAGATTGCCGCTCAACAATATGGCTTCAGAAATTTAAAAAACAAGGGTTGCAGGGATTGCAAATTCAATCGTGGAACAGCATTGGGGGCAATCAAGCCCAGTACCAAATATGCATTATGCGAAAACCTTACACGATTTCATTAATATTTCATTCATCCAGTTTACAACCAAATTGGAGCCGAGATATGCTGAGATAGCCTGTTTGAATCTATTTGAATGAATTTACGGATCAGGATACATCAGGTGAGACTGGATTATCTTTAACTTCACCCGCTCGCATCCCTTCCATGCTTCCCATGCCATGCCATGCCCATTATTTCGGACATTCTGCAGGACTCGCCGCACGGCCCGATGGCCACCAGCTGCCAGTCCTGATGTAGTCCTGCTTTCAGTTGGGATCCTTGTAAGACACCGTCAGAAACTGGCCGCTCACGAGAGAAGCAAAGTAGCGATGGCAACCATCCCGCCAGGTCCATTCCTGCAGCTCCTTCCTCCATGCAATTGACACTGGCGGAAATTGCTCACCATCCGCCATTTTCTTCGCATAGTCCCAGACTTTCTGCCATCGAGGCTTCACTTTTCGTCTCCATGGACTCATTAATCTCGCATCTGCTAATGCCAAGAAACGCTTGGAGCCCAGACCCGCAGGTCTTCGTGAAAGATGCAAAACACTGGTAGGCTCTGGGCTCAGAGCTGCCTCATGCCGCCGGGAACTGTAAACCTCAAGCCCAGCAATGGCATCAGAGCAGCGGGTCTCTCTTTCAGCGTGAATCTCGTGCCAACGGAGCTGTAACATCTGATTGGTTAGCAATGCTGCATATGCAGTGCAAAGGCTACCTTCATCGGCCAGCAGTCGATCCGGGGTCGTCTGCTTGCCGCCCAAATGCTCAAAGACCGCCTCGGCACACAGCGGAGTCTCTGGTGTTCTTTGAGCATCTAAAGCCTTCTGCTTCACCTGAGGCCAGGATACTCCCCCAAGTCGTAATGCACTACGCGCCACATGTAAACAGCTTGGATGGAGCAGAGCCTCCTGCCAACCAGGCAACTCTTCACAACTTCTTCTCTGCTGCCAGGGTATACCGAAGTGCGGCTGGACATCTGTGGCAGAACTGTCTTCCACAATCAGGGTGAGCAGGCAGAGTGGCATCAACAACCAGAGCTGCACAAATGACATGGCTACAATTGAGCGGATCCTCTAAGACTGCACTGCACATGGATTGTCCGACATCAAATGCAATGAGTATCATATCCCAAGATTCATACCAGGCAAGGACACTCAAGCAACAAACAACTTGTTTGGCATTCAAAATAATTCAAGCATCGAAGCATCATTCGAATTAGCTCACTAGGTGCCAAAGAGGCTTTGGAGCACAGAATTCAGAAGACTGAAGACTTCAATATACTTCGTAAATTTCAGTCATGCTCATGCTTGTGATATCTTGTGATGACATGCCCTTTGGCTTACAGCATCCGAATAGGATCGAATAGGCACTTCATGGCACTTCTCTTCCACTTGTCAATCATTGCAGCAATTGTTGATCCATGTTGATCCTATCCGTTGATCCTATCCTGTTGATATCCCCAATATATTCTCATTCTCCAGCTACGTAGCCATTACTAATGCCATTGCCCTCGATTTCATCGCCTCTGGAGATCAGGTTGCCGAACCTAAGCAGGACGCGCCTACAGAGAAACGTGGCCAAATGAATTCAATAAATATTGAAAAATCAATAAACCAATGATAAATCCGTGATATAAATCATGATAAAGCATGATAAATCAATGCATATGAATAGCGGTCAAAATTACCTCATTTTCATGCCATGGACAAATTAAGGTCGTCCCCTATCGGTCGTGAGGACTTCTGTGTTCTCAGATTTTGAGGCGACTCATGTAAAACAGGGGTATCGGTATAGGCCCCTCAGCAAGGCAAAGGTGAAGCACGACTAACTTAGTATTACAATAATTTGTCGGTTGCTCATATTTGACAATAGACTATCATATAGAGTCATACTGTTGGCATTTGAACAATTTCTCCCTCACTGGCATTCTGCCAGTTTTGAAATATGCTTAATCTATCTGCCATAGCACATGGGTCCTCTTCATGCGAATCTCAACCATGTAACTATGTTTTAAAGCTGTGCTGAAACTTGCTCGAAAGCATGCTAAGCAAAAAAAAAACGATTCACATTCACGCAATTTTCATGTCTCCTCATCAACAAACAAGTACACACATGCCGACTCTGGCAGTTGTCGAAGTTGCATCATATTCAGGGTCATGTCACCTCATGTCCTAATTGTGGCAGTGCCTCAGTGTCTTGGACGGTTTGATGCCAATATCAATACATATCAATACTATTTAGCCATATGATCCATATATATATATATATCAATAAGCGTGCCTTGTCCCCAGAGTCACCAAGCTTCAACTGCCCAACTCTGAGGGGCTGGCTTCTTGCCAGTCGTGGCCCATCAAACGTGGCCTCGTTTGGCTGTGCAGCAGATCCTAAAGCCTGAAAGGTCTTGAATACAATACCCTTGACCAGTCGATGATTACAAGATGTAGGCAGTGCATGTTGTGGAACAGCTTGAGAGCACAAAACCTTGGCAAGTTGCAAGTAACCTTCTTAGCCGCTCTTTGGAACTAGAGCGCTCCTGCCAGAGCCAGGAAGTTTCCTAAAGGCCCAGCATCACAATGCCACATCCGCCATATCCTCACAACAACCTTGTTGCCTTGCAGCGTGTTCATGCGTGTTCTGGGTCCGAAAATTGTATCTCAACCAACCATCATTTATCAATAATCATATCATGTTATATCCCCATATGTTTGATGGTTAAATATGTTAAAATATTAAACCCTACAAATTTGTAATTATCTTGGAGTGGCCTTGCTGCTCCAAGGCTTCGCACTTTGAACTCACAAAGGCCGCTCCTCTGCCAGATGGCGCCGCAGCTTTTCAAGGCCGCTTGGAGCCACTTGCAGCTGTTGCTGCAGCATCACTAAGCGACACCTGCAGAGCTGACAATGGTGCGTTTTGTCCTTGCTGATGCTAGCAGTAGATGCACTGGAGATCATTTGAGGGTGTTTTTCTTGAGGTCAAAGGCTACAGCAGGTTGGCTACGCTGGACACCCAGTGGGTAAATGTGGGTAAGAGCTTTTGTCCAAGCCGCCTTTGGCGTCGTTCTTCTTGGAGTTGTTCGGCACGTTGCAACCGAAACCGTTCCTCCATCTCCGCTGATGCCCAACGTGCCTGGGAAGCCAACTCACATGGAATGTTGTAATGCTGAAGGGAAACCAACTGGTGCTATAATCCCACCCCCTTGATATCAAATACCCCCATACCCGGAATAGATCCAATAGTCATCAATGGTCTGTGTGTTTCTGGGATTATTCTTCTGCTATCAAGCACTAGAAAGGACTGTGGCATGGAGGCAGCGGAAAAAAAAAGTAGCTGATGGGACCAGGCTACCCAGATCACCATATAATGCAAGTAGCCTTTTATGTAAGAGTTCTGGGTACAGTACGTCTTGGAATCATGGAATGAAACTTGCAATACTTGCGCGCATCTTCTGCATCTCGTTTTTTTTAATGTTTTTTTCTTTTCTGGGTGCTTTTAGACGCAATTTCGCTGCATCATAATAATTCAATAATATCATAAATCCAAGAGCACCGTGTTTGGAAAGTGCTGGAGATGTCTGGCCTCATTCAAAATCTGAGCACCTTCCGCCTGCGTAGCTTCAACCTTCTCTTCCAGGCGACCTCGTCTCGGGCCTGGGACCTGAGACCTGGGAGCCTGCAGCATCCAGCAATAGGCCAATAGGCCACGCCAGGCCAAATCAGAAGTTGAGTCCCCCACTCTTCTGTTCTTCAGTCAATAACTGCCTGATGTCGTCCCAATGGTCTTCACATGTCTTCACCACCAATTCAAAATGTCGTATCTCAATCGCTGCATGGATAGTGACAAGAGCTCAGTGCAAGACACGTGGTCCAGCTGGAGCTGAACAATGTTGTTCCTTTCTCCTGACGCACATCAGCATCAGCCATGGCTCAGCTTGCCATCCGAACATGCAGCGAGTTCGGCTACCGGTACCACTACCACGATTGGTGAAACCCCGTCCTTTGGCCTTGACCGCTCTGGACAGCTTAGCCTTGCGAGTGTCACGCGCTCACAGATTTGACACATATATCATATATATATATTATAATGTGTATAATTATAGAATCGTATAGCATATAGATATAATAGGTACCCACGGCCTCCATAATCTACTACCTACTTGTTTATCTTTTCTTGGGGGGTGCGGAGAAAAATACATGTTTTAAACTGAAAATACGCCATGCTTCTAGAAGGCTTTTGCTTACGGGAAATTGCCGGAGCGTTACTCGTTTTAAAAATGAAAATCCGTTTCTTCCTGCCATGCATTTTTTTGACCAGGTTGTTTGATTCTACCCAAAAGAAAGATAAAGAAAGTGGATTAAGGACACCCAAGTACCCAATATATAGAATAACAGCATATAGAAATGCATATGGATGATATCGATACTATATCCTGTGTAGCGCCCAATCACTGTAACAGTATGCACAAGAAGAGCACCGGAAAAAACGCAGGAGATCGCAGGAGAAAAAAACGGGAAAAGTGCTCCCACCGCACTGATGTGTAGTGCACAAATGCCCAAAACTAAAACAATGGCAAAACTGGCTCTTCAAATATCCAGAATGTGCAAAGTCTGTGACTCTTCCGTGAATCCGTGAAAAAGAGTGAGAAGACCGCGACAAACTTGCTAAAAGACATAAAATATAAACAATTTGGGCAATGACGTGTGCTGAATTTCATTTGATTTTGCTAGAACCCAGCTCAGGGAGAACTGTTTTGGTGCTGCTTGGAATGATCAAATACCCAAAATACCATTGGCAACACATTGTCTTTCAACAAAGCCATGTTTATTACTGTAACGACAAAGTCAAGCTTTGCCTTTGGAAGGCGCACGAGTCCGGAGCACTAAAAGGCACCAAAAGAATCAAATATCACATATCTGACCAACCATATCTGTATCAAAATCAAATCAATGTCTCCACTGACATGAGGAATCACACTGTTCGACTAAGTCGGGGACCACTTCTTCTTCCTGCTGCACACTCAATTCGTGCAGCTCGTCACTTCGCTGAAAGTAGTCCTCTGCACTGGCAGTTGCCTGGATGAACGCCACAGGAAGCCCAAAGGTTTCACTGTGTTTTCTGGTCACCTTTTACCATTCCTACTTAGATGGGCCATGGCAGCCATGGGATTAGTTAACTGCTTAGTAACTGGGTTATAAGTGGATATAAGTGGATATAAGTGGATATAAGTGGATATAAGTGGATATAAGTGGATATAAGTGGATAACTGCTTGTATTGTTACAAGTGACTGGTTATAACATGTTACAACTGGCCTAAGTACTGTTGGATAACAAAACTGCTTCGCTTTTCATATCAACCCGCACCTCTGCAAGTCGATCTCTCCATGCGACATCATTCCTAGGTCACGGAGGCTCCCATGCATCCTGTGTCGTTTCCGAGTCGTTTCCATGTGTTCCTCTAGTCACTGAAGTCAGATCCAACTGCGCAGAAGAATGAATGGATATGAATGATATGAATATGATATGAAGGGTCAATATCTGCTCACAGAATCTCACGGACACTGGTTGAGATAGGCGCTCTCGCTTGAACTCGTCTGCCTGCCAATGCTAATGGGAATCTATATAGAGAATACACGCAAGATCTGGCCCCTGCATTAGGGCAATGAGAAAAATTGGAAGAACATAATCACATGCTTTCCAATCACCTTCAGGACATCTGGCCTCTGCTATTGATCTTCTCAGATCTCCAACTTGCTTTCTTGCATCTGCCTGGGTTGAGCCCTACTTTTCGCCAAGATTTCAAAGGGATCAGGGAGCAAATCACCGGGCTGAGTTCATCGATTCGATTGCTGAACTTTGAGATACCAGCAATCATTTGAGTCTTGACTTTCAGCCTTGAAAAGTTCGGGCCCAGAGCTTCAGTTCACTCAGGCACGTCCCAAATCGTCCCAAATGAACAATGCAGAATTGCGACTGCTGTAGATCCAAAATGCTGCAACTACTGTACTGTTTGCAGCACGCAATTGAATACATGCATTATTATGGCGAATGCCAACGTCACACATCCGAACTTGGATCCAAGCTTTCTTTCCTCCGTTTCTCCATCAGCTTGAGTTTCTTGAAGCTGCACTACCAAAGTGCGAAGTTCCTACAGGGCAAGTTTGGCGCCTCAAAATGGGCCAAACTCTTGGAAATGTACATGATGCTGTACATGATGCTGTACATGATGGAAATCATGATGGAAATGTTCATCAATTTTCTGGGACACCAAAAGCACCGATCGCCAAAAGTTCGGCCTCACGGCGCTTCTCCAAAGCAGATTGAAGACCTTCGAGCTGACAGGATCTCTGCGACTTCTCCTCACCTCTGCAAGTTGAAGTTCTGCAAATTTCTGCAAGGTCAACGACAATTCCAAGGAATGACTGACAATGTGACATGGATTTGTCTAAAAACTATGGGAAAACTCCCCAAATCCAACGGTTCATTATCATTCATTATCCTTATCAAATGGCGGCTATAGTGTATATGTGGGTATACCCCATTTTCAGACACACCCACATGATGAAAACGGCCAGAAGACAATCAAAAGTTGATGACTAAGCCTAGCTTGGCCAGTTCAGCTTCTGCTGCTTGGACTGCCTGTGCAAAGGCTGCATGTTGCAAGAGTCTTGAAAGTGCTGTCCGAAATTTTCAGACTCAGCTGTCAATTCAATCCTACAATTCGATGTACAGTACTCTACAGAAAAATACATCAAAGGTGAATATTTCATGATTCATTGCCTTGCTGACAAACACTGCAAACTGGCCTGCACACAACACTTGTAGTCCACTTGCCGGGCGCATGAGCCACGTAGATCTTCCAATTCCTGCCAGGATCTTCATGCTGCGTGCAAGGGACAGCAAGGGAGAAAAAAAAACCTGCCGTCGTCAACACTATCCAACCCATCGAGAAGCATCCACTCCGTCCACGCCTGAATCTTCTTCTGGATATCTTTAAAGCTCTCCTGCACCTCATGCACCTCGAAGAAGTGCAGCAATGCTGACGATGTCGAAGCACAGCTTTTGAAACCACAAAGTAAGGGCCTGAACTTCAATGGAGGTGGTATCTGACAATCTCTGGCTGACCTGCCGATTTGCTAAGCAGTGCCCCATGTTTCCACAAACTCATGTACGGTAAGAGTGCTACAAACGCTAAAAAGGTAAGAAGCTTACAGGATCTTCCAAGAATATTGAAGATGCGTGTTAGGTTGATAAGTTTGCCACCTTAAGAAAAGTGTCCTTTTCCGCATCTTTTCGGCGTTGAAGCCTTGTCTCAGAGAAGCCAAGCAGCTGCTTCGGCGCAAGGTGCTATTCACCATGGATTCCACTCAGCCAGACCCCACTGAGTGTCAAGCTGGAGGTTCATCTCACCAAGCACAAGTTTGTCTAAATCCTCCTGTCTTCAGAGGACATTTCCCACGATGTGTGCGAGTGTACTTGTATCATCTTGTATCCTGTAATTGTCCTAGAACATCCTAGAACCAAACCAAACATATCATATCATATCATATCACATCATATCACATCATATCACATCATATCACGTCATATATCACATCATATCACGTCATATCACATCATATCACTGATATCTCAGATATCTCTTGCATTCGGCGCAACGAAAGTTCGTTCACCACGCAACTCAGTGTCCACATGTGTCCAGATCCCATCCTGCTTCTGGGCGAGCTCCAAGGCCTTCGCCTTCTGAGCCAGGTCCGACTGATTTGACCGCCAGCGGCAGCGACTTTGCTCAAGTCCCTGCCGGGCCTTCAGGGGAGCCGCAAGAAATCAACGGGGCTGGAACAGCCATATCAAGTGATTCAAGTGACCAAAAGACAGATCGCCAAAGCAACAAAATTGCCTTTCCTACAGTTCAACTATGTTCAACTCCCATCAACTCCCATCAACTCCCATCAGCTCCCTCATTCCATCCAATTTTGATACCAACGCCTGGTCCAGCGCAGACTGCAGCTTCTCCTGCTGCACACCATGAAAATAGTTCATGATCAGCTCCCTGAAGACTTTTTGGTATACTTTTTGTCATATGCTACCAAAAAAGGATGATTATAGGATGATTAAAATCATTGCACGAAATAGGAACCTGCTGCAAACTTGCGCTGAATTCTGTTCCGATTTCATTGGGCCACGTTTGCTTTCAGTGAAATGGAATATGGATGAATATGGATGAATATGGGTGCATCTGAAAATGGGGTATACCATGGTATACCAAATGGCCATTCCATAGGGACAAGTTCACCATATTTCACCATCAGACTTGGGGGTTAGCCATGGGATCCCATGGGTACCTTCTTTCAGGCGCCATTTGGTCTCGGAGACCCGCACCGGCCTCTAAGATGCTGACAGCTTCGGCATCAGGAGCTGCGATCTGCATCTCCTCTGCAGGATCCATGGTGGCCCATGGATTTATTCTTCCCATAGAAAAAACTGCATCATGGGCAACTGAATTTTGGACAAATCCTTGCTCCTGCATCTCAGACACTCGATGGTCACGAGCTCGCAGCAAGGACGACACTTCAAGTGCTCCTTTTGGGCGATGCCCCACAGGGACCAGCGGTGGAAAGACATCCTTATGCTGGAGGACTTCGTTTTTTTTGTTGAATTCTTATGCCATAGATGATATTAAACATTATGAAATTATAATCCGGTCATTTATATGTGAATTAAACATATATTTCTTCAAACCACTTTTTGACCACACCACTTTTCTGTGCACCGTCTGCGCATCCTCCTCCAGCACCTGGTCCAGGAAGCGGCCTGAGGGATGGTATTCTACTGGTCACATGTGGACTTGGACGGCCAAATCATGGAAACATAGAACTGGAAAAACTAGAACTTGAATTGAAGAATTCAAATCCTCCAGAAGATCGGAAAAGCACATCATTTAGCCCAACGACGCGATTGTGTAGACAACGCAATGTCGGGAAGAAAGCAATATGGTGCAACGCTTAAAGTTGCAACGGCACTCCCGGCACTCCCACCCTGCCGGGAAGCCTGAGACTGCTCTCTGCCTGACGCAATGATTGAGCTGCCCCCAGCTCCACATGGCAGCATTCTTGCTGGTGCCAATTGCACCAAGGCAAAAACGATCAGCAACGCAAAAGATCTCTGAAAGCCATTCAAAACCTGCATGTCCAAGCTTTATTTACTTTAATTGGAAGGCTAAGATGGGAGTTTCCCAAAATGGGTATCCCAAAATGGATGGTTTATAACGGACAATCCCATTAAAATGGGTGATTTGGGGATACCCCCATCTTAGAAAACCCCCAGATGTCTTCAGGACAAGCTTCGCCAGAAGCCTGAAGTGCTGCTTCTTCGGCAAGGCACTGGGACAAGCCTAAAGCTCAAAGCTACAGAGGGACCGGTCTGTTTTCTTCCATCTCTCATTGGCCTTGTTAAAGGGTGGTTAACCCCTCCATTCATCAACCAGATGGATTCGAAATGGGCCAATGGGCCAATGGGCCAATGGGCCAATGGGCCAATGGGAAAAGGACATCACAGATCTCGTTATCCTTTTGAGTTGCAAACTCTCTTGGTGGCTTCGGAGCATCACCTCCTCGGCTTCCATCTCTTCTGCACCTTGCAGATCCAATCGCGAAGCGCAAAGGGTCACGAGCAGACATTAGAAAGGGATAAACAGGTCTAGTCCAAGCCAAGCCACAGAAGGAGCCCCACAGCAATATAGCAACATATAGCAACTATGTCATTGGCCATCTGTTTCAGTTTTGTCCAGGGAAATCTCACTTGATATGGCATGACTTGAATCAAGTCTAGTTTTCTGATTCTTGGAAGTCCAATGGTAAAACGTTTACCTGAATCACGTCATCCGACTTGGTACATCAAGTAGAGTTGTGCCTGCTCGGGCTTGCTGCACTTCGCTTCCTCGCAGAGCCGCCAAGCCTCGAAAAGGAGACATATTAAGAGACGGCATTCAAATGAATCAACGACGACATTCAAATGATTAGAGCAGCGATTCTCCTTGGGCTCCAACGACCTGCAGCCGCAGCGGTTTCCAAGTTCCAGCACCTGAGATCCAACAGCTGTGGTGTTTAAAGGTCACCAGTGATATGGTTTATATCATACTTGGAAGTGCATTTCCAGTTATAAGTGGCTATATAACCATAGTTATAGTTATACCCTAAACAGCGAAGTACATGCATGAAACAAAGTACACCACTGTACATGTTTTTGTTTTTTTTTTTTAAATGTACATAATGCATATACATCTGTTTGCACATGTACACCAATATCACATGTCTAAAACAGTTCATCATGGTTCATCATGGTTCATCAACTTCGCGGAGATGGCACCTGGCTAATTGTTCCTGCTCGCCTCAGCAAAGCGGATGTGCCGCTGGAATGAGTCATGCAGCGATCAAACAATGTAACAGCGCCAATATATATATATATATAAACAACCTATGTATGTGTATATATATATGATATATGTATATATATATAATATATAAAAGTATCACGATCACTGTCATTATCAATATATGCTCATTATTTTTTCTATTTATTATGATTACTAATTCTTAATAACTATTTCAAATTGATATTATCGTTGTTGGTATTGTCAATATCACTATTATTGTTATTATCATTAGTATATGGTCATTTGTTATTATTGTCATCACTATCATCATTATTCATAGTATTATTAGTATCATAATTTGTTAGCATTATCATTAAGTATTATCATTAGTATTATTAGTAGTATCATTATTAGTCTTATTATTACTATTATTATTATGACTATTATCATGAGTATAATTTTATATGTTAATTTACTAGTATTATCATTATCCTTATAAATTATTAGTATTACTATTCTTGTTATTATTATGATTATATATTGTGATTATTATTCATACATATTACAGTAGATAACTACGTACATTAGACATATTGTCAATTTAATCATATTTGTATACATCATGTTGTATATGTGTGCAGGAGAAAAACAGTGCAGTGCAATCAATTCCGTTCAATCTTGGCGTGTCCACCAGCATGAGGAAGTTATTGGTGTCACGTACTCTCGGTACCCGGCAACGGCGCTGGTTTCTGGGTTGGGGTGGGCTAGTAACGTTCTCCTGCACTTGGACATACACTTCATGCTATGCCAGTGGATGTTCTCTTGCACTTGCACATGCATGACATGCAAGGCTAGTGGATGTTCTCTTGCACTTGCACATACACGTCATGCTATGCCAGTGGATGTTCTCTTGTACTTGCACAGACACGTCATGCTATGCCAGTGGATGTTCTCTTGCACTTGCACAGACACGTCATGCTATGCCAGGGGATGTTCTCTTGCACTTGCACAGACACGTCATGCTATGCCAGTGGATGTTCTCTTGCACTTGCACAGACACGTCATGCTATGCCAGTGGATGTTCTCTTGCACTTGCACAGACACGTCATGCTATGCCAGTGGATGTTCTCTTGCACTTGCACAGACACGTCATGCTATGCCAGTGGATGTTCTCTTGCACTTGCACAGACACGTCATGCTATGCCAGTGGATGTTCTCTTGCACTTGCACAGACACGTCATGCTATGCCAGTGGATGTTCTCTTGCACTTGCACAGACACGTCATGCTTCTGGATGAAGAAAAGTATTTTCGTCATTTTGGCTTTCCTGGCTTTGCAACATGATAAACAAAAACACTGTACATACCAGGTGAAACACACCATTTTGACCCATTTCACCCGGGTACTGTACCATTGTACCACTGTACCAAAGTAAGACTGGTCTTGTTGCTCCACCGCAAATCAAACGCGATTACCCAAAAACCTTGATGTGGTGTAAGAATATGCAAGGGTCAACAAGCAAATATGCATTGATAGGCTACTGCCTTCGACTGCAATCTTTGAGTTTCTGGCAAATTTTCTTTTCGCATTCCACAATTGAGTTCCTCAGATATTCACTGGATGGCCAGAAGGAGCCACCAGTCACCAAACGATTGGAAAAGCAACTTTAGCCGGTGAGCTTGCACTTTTGGTATCTTTTGGCACCGATCAACACGACCCACTTCCCGCATCTTACCCCGCTTCCCCGTTTAATACGAGACGCTCTTCCTGCTCGACTGATTTTCCCAAGCGTTGCAATTCTTCATCATCAAAGCACTTGAGGCTGGATCTGCGTCAAAAACTTCAAGCTCAGAAGTAACCGACAGGAGAGAACATTATGATCATTATGAGATAGTATGAGAACAATGTGTCCAAGTGGAGATACCTTAGGAAGCAAGTTAAAGTCACGAGACTGATCTCAATGTCTTTGAGGTCTTGTGCCCTGCCTCACTTCTTGCAACTGCGCAGAGGTTCGCTGGAGATCTCCTCTCAGAGTCTGCACCTGGGACATAAAATACAACTAACAGCACATAACAACACCAAAGCCACTCAGCACAAGACGTCAGAGTCGTGCATCATTCAGTGGGTGCAAAGTGGCGCGCACATTCGCAGCATGAAACCACCACTGAGTCCAATGCATCCGGAAGTGAATATTTGCATCCGGAGGCCCACCGCAAAAGCATCTGCTCCGCCTCCAGCTTTTCACCTGAAATGACAATGCCCCTGGAAAACACAGCAGCTCAGCAAACAGTTCCAAATGTTCCAGTTCAGGCCCACCAATCAAACCAAGTCTCTTTTCCAGCGAGCGGCCAAGGAAGCTTCGTGTTTCGCACTGTTGGAGAGCCTTGCACTGGCATCAACCACTCCATGAAATGACTGAAACCCGACGAAATGTTCTGCAGTTGTTGCATGTTGCAAGAATCTGCGAAAAGACCTCGCTTACTGTCAGACTATTGGGCCAAGTATGAAACATAATTTGAATATGATATGAATATATATATATATGAATGATATGACCTGATATGACCATTACATGTACTGGATGGATATGTCTATCCCGTTGTCGTTTCAGCATCGCAAGCCGTCCGCTGCTAAGGTCGTGTCTCAAGGCAGCGTCGTTCCTCCTTGCTCCAGGCCGTTGCTTCTTCTTCATGGACGCGTTCAGCTGCCGGGAGTTCTTCATCCTTGGCTGGGAGTGACCATGAGCATCATGAGTGACCCATATTAATCATGTGTCCCATCATATGTTTCCTGTTTAAAAAAAGGGAGAGATCCAAAATGATCCAAATATGGACCGATTTCAGAAAGGTTTCCAGGAGATATTCTGGAATTCTGCTTCACAAGTATCGGCTGCGGATAATTGTGCCACCTGCTGTGCAAATCGATCTTCGTGCTTCTGCACAGCCACCACAATCCTCGGATCGAAAAGTATAGAAACTGTACTAGAACCTACAGGGGTGCTTGGAGAACCAATTGAATCCTACTGCTTAGACTTCACATCTGCTGTCTTGGCAGCCCAGATGCTCTTCCAGATCCATACGGAGACGAGTTTCTCGTTGCGACTCTGCTTCCTTGGCAGCTAGATCTCTCTCAAGAGTTGCCTCAGAGGCAAAGTTTTTCTCGAAATCTCTGGCAAATTGGTCCCAGTCCCCTACCAGTTTGGGGTTTCAAGTTTATTCATTTCATTGTGCTGCAATGCTATTCTTGAAAACTCCGCACACCATACCTTGAAGGTCATCCATAGATAAGATATGTCTGTACTACGTATGTTTTCCTGAGCTTTAGATTGCAACACATATCACTCAAACATGTTCTAGAGAGTGCATGTGCTGAATATCGATGAAGTAGAAGATGCATGCGATTGTATGCGTACTTATTACATCGTTTTCCCGGTCAAACATGTTCAAACCAATGACATATGATTGGTTCATGTGGTATAGACCGTATACATCACCCAGCAAGGCAAAAGCATCGAACAGCCATGCCACTTCTGTAGCTTGCTTCTTTGCTCTTTGAGCTTCCTCGGCGGCCACCTTTGCTTCTTCTTGGGCAGCTTGGAGATCTTGAGTTGCCTTCAGCAACTGAGCAATATTGAAGTGCAATGAATGGTAAGAAAACATTGCAAAATAAAACAGTCCCAGCCACAGTCAGTTTGGTCAGTTTCGGATACTTTTGGGGCTTGACAAACAAAGTTGTTGCGGAAACTTGCTATACATTGCATCTCTCCATTTCCATCTTCCGATCTCGACTTCGACTCCTCGGCAAGCTGAGATCGCATGTTCTCCAGGGAGGCATTGTCCCTCACTGGAACTGCCACGTCCTTTGGATCAACACTTCAGGTCAGCAAATGAGCACTGGGTTTTGAAAATCACGGTACCCTAAAAAACTCACGGTTTCTGCCATTTTTGTGGGGTAAAATATGGTGATTGTACCCAAAAATGGTTTTGAAATGACAATGTCTTGGATGATTTTGAGGTCCCCCATTTTAAGTTATTATATATATATATATGTGATATATAAATATAGAGAGAGAGAGATATATATAGATATAGATATGATATGTATATATATATATATGATATGTATATATATATATATATATGATATGTATATATATATATACATTAATATATATATATATATGATATGATATGTATATATATATATAATTATATATGATTATATATGATGTATGGTATCACTTCGTTCCGTTATTCGGTTTGTCTCTCAAAAAGACAGCTCCTTCCCACTCCTTGCGATCAAGCCAAGTTCTGGGAATGGATTGAACATGATTGAAGATCCTTCAGCTTGAAGCAACGTGAACCTTCCGAACTCCCTGACCCTTGGTGGCTGCTATCCAGTTCCCTGGTGTCCTGGGGAACATCATCCAACAGTCTGAGCCAAGGCAACACTCTGAAGACGCAAGTGCCTGAGCTCTGGGGGTAGACCCTAAGGAATCTCAGTCTAACAAGACTGAATCACCAAAAGCTTTCGGTGAACATGTGAGAGTTGTCTAGAATTGGAAGGTACTCTTGGTATCTCTGGGTATCTCTGGGTACTCTAAGTGCCAAGGAACGGTAAATGGGGTCGTCACAAATGCTGTTCCCGTTGTCACTTGCCTTTTCCTGGAATGCCACTTGCTGCAGTGCAGTACAACCACCCAGGAAGAGCAGCTGGGAGACTTGATCGATTCGATTGCACCTGGACGTGATCCATGGCCGAAAAAGAGGAAAAATATGGAAAGATTATGAACATATATCGTTGAAACTTGAAACATGTCTAAAAATCCTCAGATGGTCTGTTTCCATCAGGCTATGCAAAGTGTCAGAGACTGTCAGAGGGTTGCATCCCAAACCATTGAGTTGCATAGTTATGCCCGTTGCCAGTCTTAATTCTCCACATAATCAATTATCTGAGAAAAATGGTCGTCATATTGATTATGGATCAAAACCCTGGTACCCTAGGTACCCTGAAATAGCTGGCTCATGGATGTTGATTCTCCTAAATATGACAATAATGGGTTTTGACCCATCCCCATATGTTGTCAGCTTAGCATCTTAGTTGTGCAAGTCTGGTGAAATCTGATGGCAGCCGCCTCAAATCCAAGCGATTCAGCTGGTGACGGCGGCCCCAAAAATTCATCATGCCTCCGCCGGACGTATCTGGGTTACTAAGGGAGTTCTCCCCAATTTGTGGCCATTGAAGAGGGGAAAATGATGGAAACTGATGGAAAATGATGATCAACTGAGACACCATGAGATTATGATTTGGGGCTTTTCCCAACACTTTCAGACATCCAGCTGGCTTCATGACCTATTGCAAATCCTGCGTCAACCTATCGGAGCACCTTCAAGGGACTCGATGCGGTTGTAGGCAAGGTGCCTCCGTTTGTCACATGTGGAAACAGATCTCGCCACAAGCCTCATGTGGGAATAATCAATGTATTTAAATGTCAGGTACGTTCAGGTACCTGACCAAGGAGATCACAGTATACACTGGGAGGTAGTGATTTCTTTCTATGTACTCCGTAAGCCCGGAGGCTGATGGCCAGGATGTTTGACGACTGAAAGGCCCGATTCAAAGGCATATGGCTCCGAAATGGAGGCAGTAATTAGTTCAAGAAAGAAATCTCCTGGTGGACAGTGCCCTCTTCCGCAAGTATTTGGTGCCAATAATCATGGCTGGATGCTTTTACATATCCATAATTCTCCATATACGTCCCCCGGAAGACTAAGGATGGTTTTCAGATGTCTTGCATTGTCTTGTCGCAGTTGAGTCACAGCTGCTCCAACGCATAAAGGCCCTTGAAAGACTCAAGGCCCTGAAGCTCGTTGCAGGACAAGTCCAGGAGCTTCAGGTGGTCTGCCACTCCCATGAAATCCTCAGGCCTTCAGGTGATCTAAGCCAGCTGGTCATTCCGTGAACAGCTTGGTTTTGTTTGGGATTCCACGTTCTTGGATGATGAAATAATATGAAATAATCCTCTGTAAAGAGTGTAATCATGTATAATCCCTGAATCATCAACCAACCGGTTTTGAACACTGCTCATTTCCTCACTTCCTGCCTCACATGTCTGATGCAGTTCCCAGAGAGGATCAGCTCCTGCTCCAGAGCATGGCTATGACTGACACCGCTGGACTCCGCTGGACCAAAAAGGAAGTCATCAAAAAAGAAGTGTCCATTGCCTTTGATTGTGCACATTATCAATCATTATTAATCATGATTCAATTATGATACATGATCCGTTTAAAGTTGTTCAAATCATTCTGCACCTTTCCACTTCCAAGATCTCTTAGGGGCACAGCGGTCCTCCAGAAATGGAAACTGAGAAATGCCTCCAAGATCGCGGATGCGATTCATGTGCAGATTCAGCCTGCGGGTCCTTGCAGAATTCGCGGCACAGAGGTTGCTGTTGGAGATCCACCCTCCGAACTATTTTAAAACCGCTTCTGCGTTTCTTTTGCAGGATTCACTGTGCTTTCCGAAGTGTTGGTTGAATCTGCTCTTTGCAACAGTTGTCAAACCTGCAAAAACCTGCTACCTCATCAGTGGGATTGCCAATTCATCTGAGCAATGCACTGCGCATACTCACCGGCACCTGAGTGTTCTCCTGCGGAATGAATCTGATTGCGAACTGGACAAATCCAGGGTTTAGGTCTGAATCCCCCAGCCCACTTTGACATATCATTACCCCTGTCACATCCGGCTACAACGGGTGCACAACCATAACTAGGCCCCTTGGATTGAGGTAGTCATTTCTCCATCATGATGCAAAGACAACCGTGAAACAAGTTCCACACCTCCAATTTCGCATAGAGAGGTTAGACCAGCTGCTAGCAAGTCCAACACGGCCATCACTCAAGGCAAATGGTCGACTGGCATGGCTCTACCGGCAGCCAAAGATCTCAAACGAAACTATATCCCAAGCAAAACCAAGGCTTGCATAGGCGGTTTCTGCGCCATAGTTCTATTTGTTACTCGTACTTTTCTACTTACTGCACACGAATTTGATCTCTTTTTGTGTCACTGCACTTCAGCCAAGTTCGCAGGGAGCATTTCATCAGGTGTTCCAAATGCCAATTCCAGTTGCCTGGCGATCGGCGCAGGTGCTCACGCCC